TTAAACCAACAATGGTACAGTGATTCTTCCTAGTATACTGGACCTCAGTATTCTTCTTTCTGACTCCTTCATGTAGATTTTAAAAATTTATTATTAATGTGGCCCACTTGAGTGATCTCTTTTGAAGCCATATATCATAACCTAATCAAGGAAGTTATGTTCTATTATAGTCATGTTGAATATATCAAAATTAATATATTACAATTGTATATTTTTATCTTACTTTGTGCATGTGTGCTCAGTCACTCAGTCATGTCCAGCTCTTTCTGATCCCGTGAACTATAAGCCATCAGGCTCCTCCGTCCATGGAATTTTCCAGACAGGAATACTGGAGTGGATTGCCATTTCCTACCTCGGGGAAGCAACACCTATAATTATCATTGTAAATATATGTCTTGAATTATGAAAATCATTGAATGATAGTCATAAATGTAAACAAAATGTTTATTTTAAATAAAATTAAAATCTAAATGTTTGAGATAAATATTGGAATACTGAGGTCAGAAACATTATTTCCACTACTTAGTTTTCCACCAAACTAGTTTTCAATGCAGTATATATATGTGTGTATATATATATATATATATATAAATGCCATATTTCATAGTAACAATCTAGGGTTACTTTTTTTAATCTGCTTGAGAAATAATTGGAGATCTGCTCTTGCTCAGAGTTTCTGAAACATAATTTTCCCTACTGGTCTAACCCAGTATGAAAAGCCCTGAGGAATATTTCAGCAACAAAGGCCTTTTCCCACCAAACACAGGAAGAAAACTAACTTCATTTCCTCCTGTTCCTTCCTGCCACAAATCTACCTTCATATCAGAAGATAAACTGACCCCCAAACACAGGTGTAATTCAATATTCTATTTCAAATGCCATCTGATTTGAAACCCGAGTAATTAACAGCTCACTAGGGACCCTATTGAAATAAAAACAACTTTGATCCCATTCCCAAATCTCTTGCCAAATGGATGGGCAGTTCAAACCCCTCTGCTTTTGCATGATTTGAAATGAATAACTATATCAGAAAGAATGCTGTATATGGGAGTGCCAGCTATAAGGAGGGTGTGTTTTTCAATTTGATTATTAGAGAAACAAATCTGAGTCTTGGGAAGGGATAAGTACTGACATGCACAGTTGTTCTCCACCCATAACTAAGCCAGCATCTTGGTGCTCTGGCATCTTGGAGGAATAGGGGTATATGAGATGTAATGCATCTTAAGGGATAAAGCTCTATTCTCTTATTATACTCTAGAAAAAACATATATTTTATTCCTAACATTTTAATATACAGAGAACAGCCTTCTGTTCCAGAGGACGACCGTATACAAACTACAAACCAAACATACACAGCAAGATGTGCTGCACTTAGTCTCTCAGCAGTGTCTGACTCTTTGCAACTCCATGGACTGTAGCCCACCAGGCTCCTCTGTCCGTAGGGATTATCCAGGCAAGAATACCAGAGTGGGTTGCCGTTTGCTCCTCCAGGGGATCTTACTAACCCAGGGATCAAACCCAGGTCTCCGGCATTGCAGGCAGATTGTTTACCATCTGAGCCACCAGACAAGCCCGTAGAACAGGACAGTTTACAGTAATTTGTCCTCTTGTTTCAATGCTTTGATTATCCATAGTAGTTTACATAGCATAATCCAAACAACATAACAGCCTTATTTACAGAAGTCTCTTGGATGAGGCTAAGGTCCCTGGTGGATCACCTAGATAGAGATAAACATGAACATGTAACTACTGGTCATTGGTACCTATAATACAACAAAAGTGGTCACTTGTTGAACTGCTACTTTCTGCCAGGAACTGTGCTATTGACCCCAGACTCCTTTCCTCTGAGCTCATCTCTTTGCCGCTGCTTCAGGTGGGACCCTCCTCCCACCCCAAGTTATAGTGCTAGGATAAGAGTCAGGAATCTAGTTTTTTATTTTTAGCTCTGCCACTTTTTAGTCTGTGACCTTGCACATTGCCCTCTCTGATTATTACTTTCTTCTGCTACAAAATGGAAATAATAAAACTTACTCCAAAAAACCACTGTGGGGATGAATTAAACATTTTAAGTATAAAATATTTTTAACAGTGATGTTCTACATGAGTATAGTACATAATTGGCATCAATTATTATTTGTTCAGGTCAGTTCAGTCGCTCAGTCATGTCTGACTCTTTGTGACCCCATGAACCACAGCACACCAGGCTTCCCTGTCCATCACCAAGTCCCGGCGTCCACCCAAACCCATATCTATTGAGTCAGTGATGCCATCCAACCATCTCATCCTCTGTTGTTCCCTTCTCCTCCTGCCTCCAGTCCCTCCCAGCATCAGGGTCTTTTCTAATGAGTCAACTCTTCGCATGAGGTGGCCAGAGTATTGGAGTTTCAGCTTCAGCACCAGTTCTGCCAATGAATACCCAGGACTGATCTCCTTTAGGATGGACTGGTTGGATCTCCTTGCAGTCCAAGGGACTCTCAAGAGTCTTCTCCAACACCACAGTTCAAAAGCATCAATTTTTCGGTGCTCAGCTTTCTTCACAGTCCAACTCTCACATCCATACATGAATACTGGAAAAACCATAGCCTTGACTAGATGGACCTTTGTTGGCAAAGTAATGTCTCTGCTTTTTAATATGCTGTTTAGGTTGGTCATAACTTTCCTTCCAAGGAGCAAGTGTCTTTTAAATTCCTGGCTGCAATCACCATCTGCAGTGATTTTGGAGCCCAGACAAATAAAGTCAGCCACTGTTTCCACTGTTTCTCCATCTATTTGCCATGAAGTGATGGGACCAGATGCCATGATCTTAGTTTTCTGAATGTTGAGCTTTAAGCCAACTTTTTCACTCTCCTCTTTCACTTTCATCAAGAGGCTTTTTAGTTTCTCTTCACTTTCTGCCATAAGGGTGGTGATATCTGCATATCTGAGGTTATTGATATTTCTCCCAGCAATCTTGATTCCAGCTTGTGCTTCCTCCAGCCCAGTGTTTCTCATGATGTACTCTGCATATAAGTTAAATCAGCAGGGTGACATTATACAGCTTTGACGTACTCCTTTTCCTACTTGGAACCAGTCTGTTGTTCCACATCCAGTTCTAACTGTTGCTTCCTGACCTGAAAATTTCCAATCAATGAGCTAGATACTTTACAAACATTTTCTCCAATCCCCACACAACCTGAAGAGTAAGTATTATGCACATTTTCCAGAGAAAGAAATGGATGTACAGAGAGGAGAAATATCTTGCCTGAAATTTAGTTAGAGTGAAAATTTTCTATTAATGGTGGCAAAACACTCTAGAGATCATACCAGCAAAAGATAAGTTCAGTTAGAAATACCTATTGTCTTCCATGGTTTTATAAGTTCCTGGAAATAACATGCAAATATTGCATATATGTGATCACAATATGTATATACAAAAGAAATGCACATATATAATAAATACATTGCTTCCTGATATTTACAATACCAATATATGGAGACAATCTAAATGTCCATCAACAGAGGAATGGACAAAGATGTGGATACTCAGCCATAAAGAAAGAATGAAATAATGCCATTTGCAGCAACAGGGATGGACCTAGAGATTACCAACCTAAGTGAAGTAAGTCAGAAAGAAAAAGACAAATACCGTATGATATCACTTAAATGTAGAATCTAAAATATGACACAAATGAACTTATCTACAAAATAGAAACAGACTCACAGACATAGAGAACAGACTTGTGGTTGCCAAGGGGAAAGGGTAGGACAGGAATGGATTGAGAGTTCTGACTTAGCAGATACTAACTATTATATACAGAACAGATAAACAGCCAGATCCTACTATATAGTACAAGGGACTATATTCAAGATCCTGTGAAAACCATAATGGAAAGGAATATGAAAAAGAATGTGTGTGTGTGTGTAACTGAATCCCTTTGCTGAATGGCAAAAATTAACACCACATTGTAAGTCTACTATACTGCAAGAAAATAAATTTTAAAAATACGTTAAGCTGCCAATCACATATAAACAAGGTGAAACCGATGCATAGGGAATGAAAAGTCAGGAAGTAAACTAGCATCTCCCTGTACAGGCATCCCTAGCTTTATCATGCTTCACAGATAGTATTTTTTACAAATTGAAGGTTTGTGGCAACCCTGCTCCCTGCAAGTCTGTAGTGTCATTTTCCCAACACATTTGCTCACTCCATGTTACTGTGTCATGTTTGACGATTCTTACAATATTTCAAACTTTCTCATTATTATTATATTTGTTACTGTAATCTGTGATCCATGAGTTTTGAGGGACTATTGCCAAAAATTACAACTCACGGGAGATGCAAATGATAGCATTTTTAGCAATCCATATTTTTTAATTGAGGTTTTTACATTGTTTTTAGATATAATGCTATTGCACATGTAGTAGACTATAGTGTAGTATAATCAAAACTTTCATATGCACTGGGAAACCAAAAACTTCATGTGACTCATGTTATTATGATATTCACTTTATTGCAGTGATCTGGAACCAAACCTGCAGTGTCTCCCAGGAATGTCTGTACTCCTTAGAGTCTGTGGAGCCCAATTAAGTAAAATTAGCATGTGCCAAGGTGGATAAGGTGAGTCACTGGGGTTGTAAATTTCCCTAAGGTGTCAAAAGGACAGCAACTCCTGGGTGAGATATGGTACCTTGCCATCTGCTGGGGATATTCATTACTTTCCAAATGGCCTTAGTCTTTTCTAAGCTAGGTAACAGCACAATTGAATTGGGTGATAACTTCTGCCCAATTGTTTCCATGTCCTCTATAGAGTTTAAACAACTTGTTATACTTTCTCCTTCAGAATTCTCAAGGTCTATGCGAGGTGATAGCAAGAAAGAAAATGGAAGGTACAAATAAACTGTATCAAACTAGAAGATGCATCCATAGCTATCTAGACTCTTCATGCAATTCTATTAATTTCTAACAATCTGTCTTGGTCAAGAATGATCAACCTGTGTTGAGGAGACAGACAAACCTTGAGGTCTTGGTAGCTGAACACAGCAAAAGTTTATTTTCTGCTCTTGCAACTAGTTGGAGGAATTCTCCAGAACAGCTGTCCTGTTTTTTTCTTGTGGCTCTGCCATCTCAACATCATCTCAAGCTTCCTAGAATCAACAAAGCAGAAAAGAAAAAGACAAGACCTTTTCAATTCCCATGTCACTTTTGTCCATTGCATTGTCAGGAACTAGTCACATGGCCCTGCCTACCTGCAAGGAGCAGAGAAGTCTCATCTTAAGCTACCCAAGGGGGAAAAGGAGCCAGAAGTAGCATCTCTCATATTATCCCATATGCAAAGGCACTGTGCTGGGGGCTGGAATTCAAGAATAAACTAGATCAGTCCCTGCCCATGAAGGGCTCACATCCTGATAGATGAAACAGGAATGACAGTTCGTGTGTGTGTGTGTGTGTGTGTGTGTGTGTGTGTGTGTGTTAGGCACGCAGTTGTGTCTGACTCTTTGCAATCCCATGGACTGTAGCTTGCCAGGGTCCTCTGTCCATGGAATTCTGCAGGCAAGAATACTGGAATGGGTAGCCATTCTCTTTTCCAGGGGATCTTTCCAACACAGGGATAGAACCTGGGTCTCCCAGGCCTGAGCCACTATGGAGGCCCATGACAGAGTTTACCATAAAGCAAAACACACTGTGAATTGTACTCTAATCCAGCAATAAATATGAGGTTTTAAGAGTGCAGCCAAAGGAACAATTAATTACAGCAGTAGTTTAAAGACAAGATTTAACAGAAGAAGTAGCATTTGAGTGGAAATGAAACTAATTTTTACATGTCACTCAAAAAAAGTATATTAGTGTGATATCTGAGAGAAGAGAGACAGCATGTGGTGCTGCAGAGCCTACCAAACCCTTTCCCAGAAAGTTCCCAGCAGCCGAGAGAATGCGGAGGCACTGGGAAAAAAATCCCAAAGCTGCCTTACCCCATCTCACCCTCGCAGTGAAACCTGTGTCTGTAGCAAAAATGTGTGCATATAGCATAGCTCTTTATTTTAATACAAATAATACCCTCTCTTCCATAATCTCCAAGCAGAATTAACACTGTTACAATCATACTGCCTTGATTTCTTGTACTCTTATCACAACCCTGTGGGCTCCCTGCAGGCCCACAGTCTCTCACGTGTAAAGCAACGAATCGGCAACAGCCTAGAACAAAGATCTGACAGCATTGCTCTGACTCTGCCAGAAATGAGCTGTGTGGCTTTTAGAGGAGTCACTTTACTTCTCTGCACCTCAGTTTCCCCACCTGTAAAATGAGATGGTTAGATATACCCTTGTCAAAGTCTCTTTCTGCAATATACGTCTCTGTAATGACAGTGTCACTGAGCATTTATACACCAGAGGGTAAAAGCCCATCAACAGTTGAAGTGGATGCTGTGAATTCATTCCCTAGACCTCTATGCACCAACCTTGTAGCGAAAGAGGATGAAAACTGAGAACTATGTTCCTAGACTCTGCTGCACTCAGAGTTGTGCAAGTAGCACAGATGTACTCCTATAAGATCTCAAAGGCAGGAGGGAGGTGGTGGCCACCTGCCTGCTCCTTTTGTCTGCTTTCCTCCTTGCAAGTCTGTTTCAGGACATGTGATGCTTTCTTATAGCTGAGTTCCAGAGTCCACCTCCCAGCATCCTAGGTATCATCAGGAAGCAATCACAATGTAGCAGCAGTGATGGCAGCTTCTTGATTCCAGTTTCCTGATTCCTAGATCATGAATTGGAGATGTGCTCTTAAATACACCAACAGTGGTAGGCACACAGCTGAGAACTCTCTACTGGGTCTAGGAGTCATCCCTGAGAATCCAGCCTAGTAGTTCCTGTTCAGGGAACTGTATAAGCACCTTTTTCTCTCTATTAAATGTCCTCCTATTTAAAATATCAGCAAACTTCACAATCTATGAAGAACAGTAAACTTGAAATAGATTTGCTTCATGGAATGTGTCTGGGACACCTTAGGAGACAACTTAAATCTTCAGAGATCACTCTCATGTCATCAAGAGACATGCACAAGGAAGGGCCTTATGAAGGGTTATATAGGCCTTTATAGGCCTTATAAAGAAGTGAGGAGAAGAAATCCCCAAGGCAAAGTTCCAAGGAAACTACCCAATCAAAATTAAAAGGAACCATCTACATATAAATAGGTTGAGACTGTAAACAGAAGACAGGGAGTCCTAGACTTGCCCTCCCAGTTTTAAGTCTGTTCCTGAGTAGTTATTGGGAATCCTAGAAAGTGCCTTTCTCATGTTCTGAGCCTTCAGCTGGATATTATATTTCACATCCTAGAATGAGAAGATCCCCAGAGAAGCAGGAGAACTTTTTGTTTCTAGGGATAATAGCTAACTTTAATTTTTTCTTCAAGAAAAAAAGTTTAGAATAAAGAGAATGGAAAAATAGTAGAAAATGGCCAGGAAAAAAAAAGTTATCTCTAAGAACGAGCATGCGTTGAAGAGGGAGACACAGACTCAGTAACGAGTGTGGAAGCACTCAGGAAGAATGTTGGTAATGGGCCACACGGTGCTCCTGGGGCCACAGGAGATGTTATGGGTCTAGACTGCAGACTGCGGTCCGCAGAAACAGAACTGCTGGTCAGTGTCCCAAAGACCAATGTCCTCGGTGAGACTTAGATGACTGGTAGCAAGTGTCTGTTCCCCTGCAGAGCTTGACAGAAGAGAGAGAACACAGCATATAAGATGCAGCAAGAGACTCAGACAGACCCCTGCCCCCTTGCTAGTGACAGTGAGTGACCTGGGGCGATGTCCAAAAGATTACAATTCTAGTCTCCCTACGTAACCTTCCCAGGAAATATTGTGATGGTTTCCACAAAGAAACTTCTTTGTCTGTCTTTTATTACTCAGGACCTTTTAAATGAGGCTGGTAAGGTACATTCTTCCTCACCCAACGAGCCTCAGGGTTCTAGCTGGAACAGCTGCCTCCCAGAGGAGAGCACTGGCTGAGGGAGAATTGCAGCTCTTGGACGGGCAGCCTCACTGCTGTTGCCTATGGTCCTTAAGTAGCTCCAGAAGCTTTGTGCATGTCAGGGACCTTGCGGACGAAGGCTCAGAAAACCTCCTTCCCTCTCTGTCTGGAAGCTGGAATACCATGGGGACTCAAGACAGCTGCAGCTGCTCCAAGTTCCTCCAGGCTCAATGTCCAGCCTTTGATTAGGCTCCTTTCCCAGTTTTCCATCTCTCCACGGAACATTCCTCCACATTCCTAATTATATGACTTTTAGGAACTGTCCCACTTCCATGGGCATAGAAGTAACCCCCAGCTCTGCACCCCCTCTGGGCTATCTAGAGCTCCCCTTTGCGGCCACCTGCCTGTGGACACTGCCAGTGACCTCAACACCTGCCTTGCAGTGGGACCTTAACTCTTTGGGGTTCACATAGATATTGGGCTTCCCTGGTAGCTCAGGCGGTAAAGAATCTGCCTGCGGTGTGGGAGACCTGGGTTCAATCCCTGGGTTGGGAAGATCCCCTGGAGGAGGGCATGGCAACCCACTCCAGTAGTCTTGCCTGGAGAATCCCCATGGACAGAGGAGCCTGATGGGTCACGGTTCATGGGGTTGCAAAGAGTCAGACACGACTGAGCAGCTAAGTACAGCACAGCAGAAGTTGTCTCAACTCATTTTCCCAAATCCCTCAGGAAACAGTATGCCCTCTCAGAGACAACACTAAGTGGTTCAAAACAGGCAATTCATTTGAGACCCATGCCTAATACCATGACAGAGCAGAGGTGGGGCGCAGGGATGAGCATCTCAAAGTGCTGAGTCCTAGGCACCTGATCATCACTGTGGACAATCGTATAATGGAGGGAAAAACTGGCAGAGAGTCAGGAGACCTGTGCAAAGTCTGGGTTTAGGAAGTCATTTAACCCTTCGCAGGTAGACAGGGTCATGACACTAGGCCCTGCCAATGAGATGAACAAGAGTGACATGGATCACTACTAGGCTGAGGCAATGAAAGAGTCTTATCATTTTCTTCTCTGTTCTGTTGACTGTGGAGGCTTCATGTTGAGATGGCAGAGCCACATGAAGAAAACAAGATGGATGCCTGGAAAGTTGTCCCAACCAGTTGCATGAGCAGGAAATAAATGTATTCAGCCATCAAGACCTCAGGGTTCATTTATTTCCTCAACACAGGCTAATCATTCTTAACTAAGACAGGTGGTCAGTAATTCAAAGAATTGCATCAAGAGTCTAGATATCTACACATGCATCTTCTAGTAAGACATACCTCCAGTGTGCTTTACAGAAGAAGGTCTTTGTGATAAAGATGGTTTTTCTGCATCTACTCAAGATTTCTATTGGGCTCAGACCTACAATTTGGAACTCTGGTTTTTCTCACACAGAGAGAAAGTTCCAAAGGGATTCATCCCAGACAGACTCAACATGAAACCCTGCCCTTCACAGTCTCCCCATCTTCAACATTAGAAAGGCGGAGAGGGATTCTCCGTGAGCAAAACCTTCCTAATGAGTGCAAAGCAGGTATTAGAGAGAAGTCTGTATTGGAGGGAAGTTTATGTATTCCCACCTGAGACCTGGGCATCTCTTGGAAGTTTAAGAGAGATGGATACTCTGAAAAGAAGCATAACTAAAACCACTGGGACATCAGATTCCCAACAAAACGGATTCCCAAAACACGGGTTCCCCAGTGGACCCCATCCTTTCCAGGTAAGCTCCTGCAGCTCCCTTCACTCCCTCCCCCACCTCCTCAGTATCCCCTTCACCTTCCCTCCTTTACTTCTTTCTCCATCTCCTTCTATTGCATTTTCTCTAGGTCTTCCAGTGACTCTTTCTTCCTTCCTGTTCCTCCTCCAAGGAGCTGATAAGCCAGTGTTTTGAACTTAGATGACATTAAACACTTGAAAAACAAAATCATTTGCAACAGGAACATTGCCTTCCATGGAATTTTCTTGTTTATTATTTCTTAACCACACTCAGTGAGAGGAGATTCTATTTGTTTTGCTGCTTTCCTTTCTTGGAGAAGTATTTAAAGGATCACATGATGCTGTGCACATATAACTATTTGTTGTTGTCTGCATGTATTCATCTGCTTATTTCTACCAAATAGTCCCAATTCTCAAGAATTGGTTACTTAACA